TGTGTGTGTGTGTGTGTGTGTGTGTGTGTGTGTGTGTGTGTGTGTGTATGTGTGGGAGATTATCGGTAATCGGCTTTCCTCTTGAATATTATACACACATTCGAAGCGAACTACGGTACACAAACTTACACGTTGCAGTTGTATATAAATGTGTATTATGTTGCATATGCAATGTGCAGTTAATGTTCCGGTGTACCGAAGTGTACTCCTCTGACTACGTGGATACAGGCATGTGTATACATATTATTATATATGCACACGTTCGCAGGGATTTAAAGTTTATTAATCGGGCGGAACAATAGAACGCGCTTTTTGTCCACGGCGGTGCGTCGGTAAACAGTGTTCAGAACACGCGGCAACCTGTAAAATCCCGATTAAAGAATAATAGTATTTCAAGAACAGTACGTCTGTATGGTTTTTGTTATTAAAACGCGAAATCCAAATCGGGCATGACGTAAAAACAAAACATGAATTGTTACTGTCAGTCGTTTTTCTTCTCTATTTCCCTCGCATTCGCATTGCCAATTATATCATATTTTTTATCCATCGGTTGTCGTCAATGCGTGCAGTATCGTAAACGATTAACCGCATATTCCTTGTAATTTTTGTTTCTTTCAGAATTGCAAAAATAACTAATCCACTTATTTTAAATGTATAAAACTCAATATAAATATTTTAATTTTTTCTTAAACGAATGCTATTTATGTACCTTGTATATTATGCACAAAAGTTAAATTGAATTTGAAAAAGTTTTCTAACCAATGATACCGTCATTATGTAGTGAAATTGATATCTTCCATATGAAGAGTTGATTATGAATTGATTATTGATTAAATGCACTGGTAGGTACCTTTGACGTTGTAGCCAAGTGTTTCATAACTTAAAATGCTTGGAAATGAATTTAAATTAAAAAACACGAACACTTTTTAAAACCAAAGATAAAGACGATTTATATACTGTAAATTATAAAAACCATAACTCTTCTTCACAAATGCTTATGATTTTGCGTAACGTGAGAAGATTCAAAAGAGAAATAATAGCTCTAAAGTTTCACACAATGAATATATATAACGATATATTATATTTATGTACATACATATGCATTTATATACGAATATAATATATTAGAAAACCGATACGACAAGAAGAAGAAGATATATTAGAATATACTAGGCATCATTTAAATATA